CCCCCCCCCATAAAGTAATACTAATTTTCTGCTTGTTTTAGTAAAAACCTATATCTGTTTTCTAGTGAAACTGCATTCAACAATTGAGAAAAGTAGAACCACTGTTGATGAGGAAGGAAGGGGAACACAGAGGGGCCTTCTTCTATATTGCATTTTCTCATCCTAGGTCCCCAGAAGAAGTGGCCTCTGAGCACCTCTGAGGGAAATACTACCCTTATCCTTCTCAGAATCTTTCAACTGCTTGATTCATGTCCCAACATTAAGATGTAAACTCTTTTGGGGGTCTAGTCTGTTATTTTGAAACACAAGAGGACTTTTTCTGTCCCTGTAATTCTAATTGACACCTAAGCTGTGCACTTTAAGTGTGTGGTGACTGGCACTTTCTTCTTTAAAGATGCAGCATGGATATCTACTCTGGGGAGCATTTATATCATAGAATGCTCTAACTAAGATTTTCTGTGTTTGGTTATAGCATAGTTAGAACCTGAGAGCCTGGAAGACACGCATGGTGTGATGGGCCATAAGACAGGCTTCATTCGGCTTACTGTTCTTTCAGGGCTTATTTTTAGGAGAGGTCACAATACTTACCTTTGAATGTTTCCAGGTCAGATGACATCTTCCACGGACACTAAACTGTGTGTGAAATGCTTGGCATCTCCAAGAAAAATAATTGAGGCATTTAGACTCCACTTAAATTCCAGCATCCCTGACATCACATCCCTGCATCGTCCCACTCTAGCACAGAGAGACAGGCATATCTGAACTGCAACAGTCCATTGAACAGCTCACTATTGCATGGGCAGAAAAACAGGAGCCTTCTTTCTGACTGGTGGTGAATCTCTTTGCTGCTTAGCCTTTTTGCTTGCATGTTGCTCATCCTTAAATTTAACCAGTGACTTCTATGCTCAAGTAAAAGCCAATCTTCCCTCCTATAACCAAGATCAGAGAAAAGAGACTGTTGCTAACCTAGGAGCTCATTAACTCGTCTTAACATTGGGATGCTTTTCACGTGGAAAGCATACTGGGTGCTGAGTACCGTTTCCTTTTGTGAGCTTGAAAGATGTTTTCAGTTATCTCTCACACTTCTCCACACCCAGAAATTGAGTCACTCCTGTTCTCACCTCAACGTTGACAATCTCTCCGACTTTCCTTTCACGTCCGCTGTCCAGTAGGTTATTAAGTGACTAACTGTGTGTTCAGACACTTCCTAACACATTGCAAAGTGAAGAATTTACATAAAATAATGTGTCACCCATGATTTGGTAGACATAGTCTTATTGGGTGTGTTGTTGTTAGTTTTTAAAAAATCCAAAAATATATGCAGTGATACAAAATAGAACTAAAATGCACACATCTGATTACTTTCTGAGAGAATAGAAGAGAGGAATTAAGATGTGTGTGTGTGTGTGTGTGTGTGTGTGTGTGTATGTGTGTGTGTGTGGTGAAGTACATTATAACTTTGTTGAGTACCAAAAAAAGACAACAAACCATAATCAAGCCTGCTGGGTTTCTATACAAATGGATGTGTTCAATCCTCCACCATGGATATGAAGGAATGCTACACATTTGAAGATGCTTTGAATACATTTGTAATTTATCCTCACTGTCAGGATTGCAGAGCTAAGAAATGGATATTTTAGTCGCTTTTCTCTGTCTGCCTGGTAAGCCAGATGGGTAGGTGACTGAGCTTGAAGGGCCTTGAACATTTATGAGATGAGTCTTGTGTACTGATGCATCTTAGTGATTTTATGTCTGAATGAAGTCTATGTCACATTTTTCCTTTGCCCATATCAGTGAAAGGCTTACCTTGTATTGCTAAGTCTTGAAGAGTAGATGTCTGTTACCTAGAAATAAAAGTATCTTGAAGAAAGGGCTGGTTAAGGGTCATCGATCAGGACATAAACATTATGTTAGTCCATGGGGCTTCTTTGATTAATATTCTTATACTCAGCCTTTTCCTTATACCCACCTGGACTCTACAAAAGGTTTCCAGTGGTGCAATTCACATTCACATACACACTATAGAACAAAAAGCCTGCTCATTGGCAATATATAATTTAAATCCAAAGTACATGTAGTTTCCAGTAATGCCAAGAAAATATTGCTTAGCTTCAACCAGTCTCTCATGAGTAAAATGGAGATAGTTTCTGTCTCAGTATTGATGTGTATTAGAAAGAGGTATGAATTAAAACAAAGTATAATAACACAAATATGTGAAAATGCAGTAATAAAACCTATTATTTTGGATACTAACTTTCAAAATGAAGAAAAATAAATAAAAACTATTTATAAAATGATAATAAGTGTACTGGAATCATAGCAAATCTGGGTATATTATAATCCCTTCCCTGTGCCCTAAAGAAGGCTGGGGCCAGCACTGATGGGTGCAAATAGCAGAATATTGGGATTAGAATGTCCCTACCCTGTCTTTGTTCTTCAAACTGCTCCCACTTGAAGCATGCACCTTCTCTTCCTCCTCCCTTCTCTGTTTTGAAGGCTCAGTTCAGATTTCATCCATTTTAGCAGCCCCCCGCCCCCCACCAGAGCTTTCTTCCCTCTTATTTAAAGTCTGAGATATAGACTCTACCATGTATGCTAAAGTACATTTGAGTGAATGTTTTCTGGACAGGGTGCACTCTGAAGGCGAGGATTGAGTTTTCCATTGTGCGTGAGCAATGTGTCTGGGCACACTGCCTAACAGGTAGCTCCTACCTGATTGTTTCGTTACTAGTGGAGTCAGGGTGACTTCTTCCTAGGATGGAAAATATGTCTCACTGGCAGGGTAACCCTGGGGCTGAGGAGAATGTGCTGCCCTCGCTCAAACTTAGGCTCGCGTTGGGTGAGTCATTAGGGAAGCTAGACAATCCGCTCAAGCTTCCCCCATTGGGAAGACCCTGGAGCCTAGAATGGCTCCTGCTATTTCTTGAACCAAATAAAATATTGTTAGAGCAAACATTGAACTCTTTTGTATTTTTTGCAAATACTCTCCAGGCCTACACTGGCCATCATACTCCTTGATTTAAATAGGCGCTTTCCTCATTTCTTGTTATCCCACCCTTTCCCAGCACCTTTATCAACAGGTAGAATGCGACTATTTCATTAATTAGTGTTATGTTACCATTGAGGGTTTTCTAGTGTTAAACCCCAAGAGATGAAAAAAATACTGAAAACCTTACCCTTACCATACAATATTGATTAAACAGAGGTGTGTGAGAGAACACGTGTGCACGAGCATGTAATTGTATCTTATCCTCTAATTCTGTGTGTGATTATTGGAAGCATAAGTTATGAACACTTAACTGGAATGTGGAATTACAAACAACACAGAGCAAAGGGAAACAACAATGTAGGTGGAAAGAATTAAGAGTCAATTTTATTGGCTTGATTTTGATTTTAAGGGAAAACAACAACAACAAACCTAAGAAACAAAGAAAAGAAAAGGCCATGTTAGAAGCAAGGTGCCTTTAACTATATGTGAAATAATAACTCCTGGTCTGGTTTTTTTTCAAGCTATACTTTGAAAGTAGAAAGAAAGCAGGAAACGTCTCCCTAAAGAAATCTATTTATCTCTAGACTCACTTACATTATACTTCATGATTTCATGGAGCCAGTGCCCCTCAACCACAGCCTCTGCTCTCTAATTTAAGCTCCTTTGAATAAGTGGTAGCACAAAGAAGAGATATAGGAGAAGGCCAAAAGAGGATGGGAGAATGTCAGAGAGGTTGTAGACATAGCAGGGAGCTCAGGGAGTCCAGGTCCCTCACATTCTGTGACCGTGAACCTGGAGCCCTGAGCTGGGCTCCACTCAGGTTGGTTGTCTTGGGGAGGTTGTATGTAAACTTTGAGAAACAATACTGAAGAAAACTCTTTTGTTCTTTTCAGCTCCTCACAGCCAGTGACCTTGCAGCCAGTGACCTCAAAGCATTTCAGACGCAGGTGAGTCCCTGTCATGTTTTTATGTAGTTTGAGAGTGCCATGATATGTAGGTAGTCTGTGAGTAAATGAATGTGACCTGAGGACAAAAGCTTCACTGTGGGCCTTCTGTTTCCACTACTTCCGGTACTGAAGAGATGACCTGGCATGTGTTCCCTGTCCCTAGCTCTTCTCTTATCTCAACATTGGCAAAATGAATTCTTTTTATTCTGACTTTTTTAATGCGTCATATTAAAAAACAAAACAAAGCCCATTTAGGTCAAGCTGTTTATAATGTTGAATGAACACAGAGCTCGATTTAAAAAAAAAAAAAAAAACCAGTGAAATTAGGTTAGGGTTCTGCCTTTCTCTCTCTCTGTCTCTTTCTCCTGTATGTTTATGATTCTATAATATTCATGTGCAAATACCTTGTCATCACGGTGTGGTGGCCAGGCTAATCGAGGCTCCCATGAAGACAGACAGTTGAGTTTTGCTGACCGTGGTCGGGGTCACGTCTCTAGCTGTAGTGCTGTTTGAGGATCAATATTAGAAAATGACAAGAGGGACCAGGTAAAGGCTTTCTGGAAGCCAAGTGCAGTGGTGCACCCCTTTAATACCAGCTCTTGGGAGGAAGAGGCAGGTGGACTTCTGTCAGCTGGAGGCTGTCTTGGTCTACATAGCAAGCTCCAGGCTCCCAGACCTACATAGAGAGACCCTTTCTCAAAAAGAGAGGTTTTCTGGAGTATCCACTTACCAGGGGTAAAGATGTAAAGTCATTCTGTCTCTGGAAAAGGAGTTGATATGGGCACACAAATATGGTGTGTTTATGCATATATACATATATTCACACGAGGCACAGATACCTTACCTCTTCCCACAGCATCCAGCTGAGGCCCAGGATTAACACAAAATTCAGGAATTACGGTTGTGGTGCTCAGTCCCTGGCTCCTTTTCATGTGAAACATTCAGTTATCCCTACCCACTCCTAGATTTATAATCCCATGGAACTGTACCTTTGTGTCAAAGAACATGACAGCTGGCAGCACTGAACTTGGGAGTGTGGGACAATTGATTTTCTAAAAGAGTTCCATATATTTAGAGTGTGTGTTTCTCTCTTTAAACCAGTTGCGTACAGTGCCTCTACCTCACTACTCATTTCTGGGTTATAATCTCAGGGCACCCTTTTCTTGCCTGGCATCTGAGGACCCAGGTCTTGATATAAAATAGCTGCCATGTCACACAGAAGAGGAACAGGGACAGTAAGTGGTCAGGGAGACCTGGAGGAGGAGCATTGGCAAACTCAGGGGCCATTAGTGAAAGTCTAGAGCAGATCTGACTTTCAGTTCTACGCTTTCAACTCATTAAAGCTCAGCTAGGAAATCACAACCATGAACTTCTGGGGGCTGGAACAACAACAGGCACTGCTGAAAGAACTAGACCTGCCCACACTCAAATGAACAGTGTGTAAGGGGCGCACGCCTTTGAGCATAGCACTGGGGAGGCAGAGATGGTGGATGTATGTGGGGAGGCCCCCTGCTCTACGTAGTGAGTTCCAGAACAGCCAGAGCTCCATAAGAGAAAAACAGACAAACACCAAAACAGACACTAAACAAACAAACACACACACAAACAAAACAGATCTGAATACCAGAAACAAAGGAGAAAAAAAAGCAGGTCTGAATACCACATCTGGGGTGTTTCTGTTTCAGTCTATTGTAGATGATCAATAAGGCTTTCTTGCCACTCATTGAAAACCAATAAGGAACTAAACACTAGTCACTTATGCATACAAATTTCCAATGGATCTAAGAGAATGAGAAACAAAAGCAGAAGACAATCAACATTGACCCATTTCCCACTCTTTTACTTGACCCCTTCCCATGCAGTGACACCGCAGCTAAAGGTCTCTTCTCACTTTACAATTTTTAAAATATGCATTTTTAATTTTTTAAATTAAAATATAATTATATCATTTCTCCTCTTTTCTTTTCTCTCTCCAATAATTCCCATGTATGCCACCACACTTTGTTCTCAAATCTGTGGCCTCTATTTCTGTAATTTATGTGTGTGTTACTGACATGATCATATTCTTTCCATGACATTATATGTATGAGTTTCTATGAATGTGGTCTAAGTATATAAATATAGCTCTTTCAGTCTGTATAACGTTCCCTGTCATTTCATCAGGATTGACCACTGGCATTAAATAACCAGTTGATACGCTCTTCCCTAGTGAAGACTATGTCTCAGGCTCTCAGCCTTCCATAGTTGCCCATAGTTCCTTTGTAAAGGGTGAAAAAAGCTTTGTGTGGAAGTCCTGTTTTGCCGCCCCCAAAGGAAGATAGTGTACAGAGTTTCTGAAAGCTGTGTGTGAGTGGTTATGTGTGTGTCAGCGTTTACATGTAGGTATGCTTTGGGCACAGCATGCCTCTGACATGATCACATCTTCCCATGATTATTTAGAGATATCCTCATATGCTAGATTTAAAATAGAGTAGTAAATAAAGGCATAGGTAGACCCCTTTGAAGCTGGTCTACTGCTTTGGAAGGCATGATCCTAGAAAGGCACTATCCAAGCATGGCTATCGTCTTCAACACGGATGGCTTGCTCCCCTGCTCATTTCATTCTCCACATCATTCCATTTTAATGTCATCCCCTAAGACTGGATGAACTTTTCTGGCTTCTCAGGCTACCATTCTGGAGGCCAGGAAGTTCTGTGATTCCTGTGGGCAGCCTACCAGGCTCAGATAATAGTTAACATCCTGGTTCTATTCTTAAATCCAAAGGGCAGGGTGTGTCTCAATTCAACACCAGCCATTGACAATTTTTTTAAATAGAAGTTGAGTGTAGCCTACATACATTAATCTGTGGAAGTTTTCATTTCCAGGAACTATCAGTGACTCCTGGGTAGAACCCAGGAGGACCCCTTACTGGGATAACTGATTAACCCCTCTGCAATCCAAACTTTTCATTTGAGTGTTGACAGCTTTAGTTTTCCTCAATGCCTCTTTTTGTTGCTTCCTCCTAAAGAACATAGTCATGATCTCCTCACTAATTTCTAATGAGTTGAAAGTGTACAGTGGTGACTATATTAGGCTGGACCATTCTGTTTGTGGCTGCTCTTCTCACTGTATTTGGGTAAAGCAGAGGAGGACAAGAAACAAAACTCTGCTCTGCTGCTGATTTCCAAAATTACCTTCTTCAGTCTTGTAAATACACATGTAACATTTCAGGCACTGCTTGAGTACCTCAGGTACATTGAGGATTCAGGTGGATTTGTCTTTTTGTGACTTCTAGTGCCTGCAGGTTTGGCACGTTAGGTAGTTTTCAAAGCATAGATATGAAAAGTTCTGGAATTCATATCCAAACCACTCGACAGTTCTCATTCTTGGCTTTTGAAGCAGCTGACCCACAGAAACGTTTGTACTTTCTGGTCTAAAGTAATCAGAAATGAGAACACACATTTCACTTTGTGAGACCAATGCTCTCCATGCCTGAGAGAAATAAGAGATGGCTTTCTCTAATGAAATCCCAATAAATACAAGCTTTACTCTCCTCTCTCTCTCTCTCTCTTTCCCCTAATACAAAAGCTAAAAGTAGGAATTAGAGTGTACTGAAAAGCAAAACAAGATGAGGGCACACAGAAACAGAGATGAGGGCATCCAGGGGTAATCTTTTACTCTTTGTCCTCCACAGCCTTGCATATCTATTGGAATTCAGTCATCACAGTTATAGTTATGCCAATACTTTATCTTTTCATTGCATGATTTCCATGTCACTGGAAAGTTGTCTTGCAGCTGGTTATTCTTGCACTTGTTGCTAACCTTCCTCGATTTTCCAGTCCATCCTCACTAGGGATTCCAGCCCTTGTAGCACCCAAGGAGCAATCTAAAGCAGATACTGGCACAAAGTCCACTCAATTAAGAAACAAATAGCATACTTCTTTTTTGTCTGCCTTTCTATAGAGAAGAGCACCGAGACAAGGTAGAGGAAAGCAACACATCAGCCATGGCGAGACACATCTTTGTGGGAGGGGAATCATCTCAAAGCCAGACAGCCCATGAAAACGTTCTGTCATTGCTGCCTGCTTGATCACCCCCCTCCTACCACACACATTAAAACTGAGAGATACCTCAGCACGGGGAGAAATCATGAGGGGGACTCATAGAAAACACAAAAGACCAGGATTAACTGTAATAGCTGGGCTTGCATTGTTCTAGGCAGGTCCAGACACAAGTCATTTCAGAAGCTGTCCAGGTAGCAAGTCAGGATCCTTGTTTTCTAGATAAAGACATTAGTAAAAAGGATGACTGGAAGACAGAGTGTGAACAGTCTCCTGTCCCAGTAGACTCTTGTACCAGGAACATGCCATGCACTTAATTTGCTCCCTGAAGTCTACCTCTCACAGCAACCTTCTTAGTTGTGATCTTAACTCCTCGGCCTCCCAGGCAGAGCGAGTTCATCTGAGCATGGATACTGTGTAGCCTTTTGCCACATTTATCCCCTGCTATTTCCATTCAACAACTGAAATTTGTCCCAAGATTATAGTCTAGTCAATGATACTTTGAGTTTATGGTCCTTTTGCTATTTTCATGTTCTTTTTTTTTTTTTTTTTTTAACTGGATCTGACATTATCCAAAGGCTCCATGTTTAGGACACTACCTCAAGGAGGAGGAAATGCATAGGTAGAGTAGCCTGTCTTTTTCCCCTGCCTCCTGCAGTGTGGTCTGCCGTGGGGCCTCCTGGCTAAGGTGGTTGCTTTGGAAACATTTGGCTTTATTCTCAAGGCCTTTCATCTGGCTGGTTGTGTATCAGCTCAACTATTATATCATGCTCTCAGGAGACTCCAGAGTTATTTCAGAGCATGGGGTGCATGGTAGAGCAACCTGGCTAGTGTCTGCTATTGGCTCACACAATGAATGGCTAGCAGCTGTGGGTTGAGAAAAATTTATAGGAATCTGTTCTTTTTATAATAGCTAAGAATGTGAGTTTTCTTTTCAATTTATTATTTATTTTTATTTGT